TTCCCACGATGTAACACGTGTGGCAATTCACTCACGTGTTGCTTCATCTATCGTTTACATGGGGATTCCACTACAATTCATCGGCTCGCTGGGCCTCATCCGACTCAGGTGGTGTTTGGCGTCTCTCCGACGGATCACCGGAACACATTCCATCTTGAGATTAGCTCCCAGCCCTGGGCCTGGGTGGGGATCATCTCTCAGTGTGGATTTCCAAGCTCAACAGAATATTCCAGCTGCCGTGCCGAGGTCGATCCAGACTGCGTCGGCGGGGGCGCCTCACCCCCCCCCCCACTGCCAGCGCCCTGCTCGTCGCCGTGCTCTCCCATCGGCGCCCCCTCGGGCCGACTCGTCCGGGGGCGATCAGCAAGCAGAACTCCTTCCTTTCCGGGGAGGTGCCTTCCAGAACGATCGGCTTTAGTCAGAACGGGCCTCCCTCTTTGTCAGCCCTTGCGGCGGTCACATTGGTGTAAGGGAATATCCCCGGGCTCCCGTTGGGCATTGAAGGGGCCTTGACTCCGGGCCGCCGTCTCCCCGCATTGTCCTCCCGGCCTGACGGCTCTCCCCGGCGGGTGACCGCAGATGATCGCCCTCCGTCCAGGCTGGTCCCCGGCGTGTGCGCCTTTCGCAAGCAGGAGGCAGGGCGTCTCATCTTCCAGAATCCCCGTGCCGGCTCTGGTTTCGGCTTCTGTCTTCTTCCATGCCCCGGAGCGGGGGGGGGGAGGGGGACTCGCAGGTCCCCAGGGGGGCGCTTTGTTCGATCACCTCCCCCCCACCCCCTCGGGGCGGGCCTGGCGTGGTGGCGCTTGGGACTCCGGGCAACCATCGGCCCGAGCTGGCGCAATCTGTCCCGGCCGGGCGGGGGGTCCTGCGCACCTGCTTGGCCGCCGATCGCTCTCGGCCTACACACCCCTGGTGTTGACTTCCCTCCCTCCCTCCCTCTCTCTCTCTCTCTCTCTCTTTCCCCCCCTCGCCCAGTCCCGATCAGCCTACCGATCTCCTCACTTGCTCGCCAAAAGGGCCCCCCGGTGGAGGTCACCTGGCTGCCGCTGTTTCACACCCCACTACTCTCCCTCCTCTTCCCTCCCGCACCTCCTTGGGATACTCCCCCCCCTCTCCCCTACCTCCTCTCCCCGATACTCCTGCTTTCCTGCCCCCCCTCCCCTGGGCATCTTAATCCCCCCCCCCCCGACCATGGATC